TATTTGATCCATCATTAAGGGGAGTTGGATTCATACCTTCCTCAAGGGGAGTTGGATTCATACCTTCCTCAAGGGGAGTTGTGCATGAGTGAATGCAATGAATCAACTGAAATTTGACATTAATCTCATTTTACAGGTGTGACTTCAGGAAAGAGAAAAATAAGCAAAAAGATAGAATGTTATGCTTATGCAAATTCTACAGGCAATAAAGTTTAGAAAGACTAAGCAAAATTACATTCATGAAAATTATAATTGTCTTATTTCTTTCATTTTGCCAAACATAAATTCTTTCAGAAATTTCCACACACTTTAATTTAGGCTGTCCAATTGAATTGGTTATCTGCAGTGGACACGCTTTTCCCATATTACCAAGCAAGTAACACAGCAACAGATTTCATCAAGAAACACACATCTACATGCCTATTTATGCCACTATTTTTTTTTTTCTATAATTATTAGACGTGGAGCATATAAAAGTAAACAATAATGGTTAAACAATTTTGTATTAATAAAATAGATGTCAAATTCTAGGCTTAAAAAAAAAAAAAAAAAAAAAAAAAAAAATCACTGCTCTCTACTCCCTCCCCTGCTATATATCTGACAGAGGAGAGAGTAGAGAAGTGAAAAAAAAAAGCTTTTATATACAGAGGGTGTGATGGAGAAATTGTTGTCAAAATTACACAAAAAATGAAAATAGCACGGACATGTCATTTTAATGGATATATTTACCAAAATTACACAAAAATATCTTGAAATACTAAAGAGTAAATTTATTCAATAAAATCACCACTGGCTTCAGCCATGGCCTCCAGATGACTTTGGAATCTTCTGCAACTCTTCTGGATGATCTCCTTGCTTAAGTTGGTGAATGCTGCTATAATCCTTGCCTTCAGTTCATCTTTGATGTTATAAAGAGTTTTGTTAATCTCCCAACCAACTGCACCCCACACATAATAATCAAGGAGGTTGTAGTCTGGGGAGTTAGGTAACCAGATGTAAGGGGTGATGTGGTTGCAGAAATTGTCTGACAGCCATGACTGGGTTCTCCTGCCTATATGGCATGGTGCAGAGTCCTGTTGCCAGGCATAGGGTCTTCCAGCAGCCACCCTCTTGACCCAAGGCAGTATTACCACATCAAGGTACTTGATATAGGCCTCTGTGTTAAGTCTGAAGGCCTGTGGAAATGTGAATAGAGGCATAACATCGCCATCATGAGTGATCACTCCAAACAATGTTGACTAGATATATCATCAAACTCTTTATGAATCCCCTGCACTGTCCTCAGATTGACACCCAAACACTGAAATGTGCATATTTGAGCTTCCAGTACAAATGCCAAATAGTACAGCATGCTGTTTCCAAATTTATGGCAGAGTGAATAGCATCATGGTGCTCTTTTTCTCACAGACAGTGCCCAACTGAGCCTATTACACCATGCAGTCGACAAAATCAAAAACAAACATGCTTGCACAAAATTAAAAATATAAAATGGCAAAAATTTACCCATCGTACCCTCTCTCTCTCTCTCTCTCTATATATATATATATATATATTAATGTATATTTGAGAAGCAACCTTTCTTTTTAAAATCCTTCATTATATATGGCAGACAAGGAAGATTTTTCCAGCATCCTTATGCTTTTACATTTTGTAGGAGTAAGGTGTACAGAAATTTTCCATAACTTTCATTGCTCCAAGCACTTTCGCTGCTTCTTTAGACATTTTCATTGGGGGGGGCATTGTTAGTTTTTCCTCATGTTTTGACTGTTTAAGTTGTCTTTTATATTTGTGTTATTTTGAATGTGTGTGTGTCCTTTTTATATATACTTAGCATTACTACTATATTTTCCAAACTGCTTATTACTCCTTCAGCATTTCCTTTAACATGTTATGCAAACAAATCTCAGAGTTGCTGCCTTTACCATTCTTGTCAGAATTAGTTTTCCACAAGAAGTACAAAGAGTCAAATAAATAACACGAGAAACTGAAAAAAATGCTGGTCTGATCATCATATGACAGGGAGAACTGAACAATTTTGGCACAAATTAAAAAAAATGACTTTCAGCAACCAAGATGTGGTTCTACCAATGAATGCTGAGAATTCAATGGAAAAGTATGCAAGAGTCAGGAAAGTTCTAAAGAGAATGAAAACTACAAAGAAATGGTTATTAACAATCAAAATGAGACAGATTAAAGTTTTGAGACATAATGAGGAAAGGCAGCTTGGAGAATTTAATATTCACAAGATATCAAAGGCAACAGAAGAGAAAAACAGTAAGTAACTGAATTGACAAGTTTGTGCAAAAAGATACAAAAACAAAAAAATGGATAATAAAGTATTGCATAGAGCAAGAAAAGAAACTGGGGAGCCATGATTGCCAACATCCTCAAGGAACACATCAGAGAGAGAGATACACTGGTTAAAATCATCCTGACAACAAAAGCAAAGACGAGAAAGTCATTTCAATAACATATGGAATAATTAATAACACTGACACTTCTCAAAAATTATAATATTTATTATCCTATTATAGTTCTACTTAGTAAGTTAGCACATATGTTTCACTCTGCAATTACCACCAATAAATAATAAACCATTCTAATTTGATTGCCAGGAAAAACAAGATATGCCAGACATTTGTTTGGTTTTTTGTGAGAAAAAGAAAGCAGACATAAAAAAGAAAGGGAAGATAGAGGAGGCGATAATACGCTTATGAATTCAACAAGTTCATTGCTAACAGTTTCTTCTCTCGCAATTCTCACTTGTGAAACTCTTCCAGCTTCTTGCTTTCTAGTCAACTTTGATTGTCAAAAATTTAAATGCAATGTCAATCGTTATCTTGTCTTCTTAATTCCTGTTCTTTTATTGTTCTCTCACCTTAATGTTTTCCTTTTTCTCAACATTTCACACACTGTAACCCCTTGGGTCTTATTGGCTTTATTTCCTTGCTTAGAGTGAAATAATTAAAAAAAATGTATGCTTCAGTGAAATGGAAAACCTTGTCAATTTTTAATCTTTTCTTTTGTATCTTCTTATTTCTTTAAATATTGATTCTAGTGATATCATTGCCAGCCAATATCTTATTAAATGGAAACATCTGAAAGATGTTTCAGTTAATGTCCTGATGATTATCAGCTAAATGAAGTGGACCTCACAAGAACCATGTCAAATGATCTTGACAAAGGTCACTGAGTGAAGCCAGAACTTAGGTTAGTGATAAATTACTTTTTTTAGACAAAGGTGACAAAGAACACTTTTCTCTGAGACAGTGGTCACTAGCACCAAAAACAGAGAGACCCAGATAGGAGCGATAGACTACCACAACGCTAATACAACGACTGTTCACCTGCCCTCGGCTTGGTTCATCTCTGCCTCATTCATCTACAGCAGAATAAAATTTGATTACAGCTACAATCGTCTCATGGTTTTATTTCGTGGGTGAAGGTCTGGCCAAAGAGTTATTTTTAAGCCACAAGAGTTTCACTAGGAGCAGCACCCTGAGAACAAATGTTGTCTCTGGTTTAAGCTGCAAAGCTACATGATCTGCATTCCTACTTATCTAGAGAATGCCACACTTATTAAAAGAGAAAGTAACTTACTTAGAAGGAAAATACTCTAAAGTGTCACTGTCAAAATATAAATCTGCACCATGAATTTTTTCAAATATCTCCATTCCTGAAAGAATTACTCCTTCCCCAGGCCAATATACATGATTATAAGAATGTTAAAAACTTAAAAGAAAACAGTTAAATTCATAACCTCGTGCCATTATGAATACATATAACATAAATTGATCCCGAAGTAAGAGATTGAATTGTGTCACTGTGTCTTCCATACCTTGACTAGACTTTTTGGCTAATCTCAGGAATATTTATAAGTATTCTTAAATTTAAGAATTTTAAAAAACTAATAACACTTTTCTCTTGTATATATTGTATCTTCCAGCTTACAAGATGTTTTTTTTTTTTTCCTTAAAAAAAAAAAAAAAAATATCCTGAAAAATGTGTGTGTGCCTCCCAAGACAAATGTAAGACAATGCCCAGGCTCAAGTAAGCTTGGATGGTCACCTAATTGGCTTGATTGATAGGGATGTAGATTTGTATGTAGAGTCATTACACTATAATGTTAGCTATCTAATTCAGCCTTTATATGATGTAACCTCAGTACTTAGCTGTTATAAGTATTTCCAAGACTATAAACCTTCCTAGAGCTGAGCCACAAACTTAAACATGCTCTGTTTACTAGCAGAGAGCCTTTCTGCTCTTGACTAGTATGTCATTGCCATAGAAACAATATCAGACAAGTGATTAATGTAAACAACATGTGGCGCCAGTATGTGAGGGATGCATGGTGAATGTGTTGTTGTATGAGAATGACTTTTTTCTTCTTCTTAGAAATTTCTTTTCAATATTAGGGTGTGTCTTCCAAGCTGCAAAATACAGTAAATCCTTGCATTTGCTTTGATAAAGTCCCTCAGAGGACGAAATGCATTTGCTAATTAAGTTTTTCTTTTGTCTTTATTCATTCCTACTTATGATTGTTATTGCAATATTTGGTTAAAGTTGTTACTCATATATTTAACAAAGCAATAGAGGAGTTTCTGCAGGTATTTTATATAGTCGTGGTACCTGCAAGGAGCTTATTCACTTATTAAATTAGAAATTATTAAACCATGAAATTTTCCAAAGTCCTGCTAGTTATTATCATCATTATAAATATTTTACAATATTTATCAACATTTCTCTCCACACACATCTTGATTCTCAATTGGTTCAAACTATCCATTTTATATATTATTGCTCAAAGTATTCCTGATAGAGATGTCATTTATAGCACAAAATGACAAACCTATGACTACACATGCAATATAGCAGTTAAAACTAACCAGATATTAAACAATTAAATTCCTTTTCCTTTTATTCAACAAGAGGACGTTACTTCCTTCAACAGTAGAAAATCAGTCATAAAACAAATATTGAAAAAGTTCAATGGGCCATACCTCTTCGCCATCTTGTTCAGCAGAAGCAGATTTCTCATAGTGCACGGATATAGTGTTGGGGACATAGCCACACCTTGTTGCTACTTCTAACACCATGTCTGCCACAGTCATAGAAGCAGAAAGATGAAGACATCGTTTCTTACACTGCGGGTCTACCAGGTCTCGAATTATACACAAGATAGTATCATCTGTAGCCGTGTACACTTCCTGTCAAAGAGAGAGAAAAAAAATTTACCAAAATCCAGTGTATACAATCCAAATTTCTTATTGCTAGAATAAAAATACAATATGTACCTATCAAAAAATGTTCTGATCATGCAAGGAAGAAAAATATGATGAAATTAGATACATTCCTTAAATTAGTGCTTCAAGGTAAACACCATCTTTATAATTATAAACAAAGGGAAAAATGTTTTCGTTCAGAATCTCAGTAAATCAGAATTTGACAATAAAGAGCAACATTTTTGGTTTTTTTTTGGGGTTTTTTTTCCTGATTATTCTCATCTTAGATTTTGATCTCCCTTAAGAAGCTTTGAAGAGCAAAACAAATACAAAACAGGACTGACATTCATTATTTTACTACTACTACTACTTCTATTTCATTTTGTTACTTTTTGACACATTGCTCTGGGTTATGACATTTAAAAAACAGTAAGCAAACCACAAAGGGAAAAGCCAGAACTAGTAATAAACTAGTGAAAAAGCTTCCAAAAAGGTAAACAAACCAAACAACTTAAGACTACTATTTTGAAGTAAAAACAAAAATGATGCAGAGAAATAGATAGAAAAATAATTACAAATTCACACTATTTTCCCTTATCTAAAAGTGTTTAGGTAACATCCTTGAAAATCTGGATCCTTGTGCTAGATGCTAGTTTAAGTCTCATGAGAAGCTACTTTTATTGCAGATTTTACAAGCAGTTTGCTCTAGGTTTTTCTTTTTTTATTTTTTTTTATATACAAAGGGACTACCAAGAGTGAAGGAAACAGAGAAAGTTTAAGCAGAGAGAGAGGACAATAGATGAATAGCATTCCATGGAAATAGCAACTGAAAACTTTCAATGAGTGTTGACATGTCATAAAAAGTGTTTGCAAGTCACTGATAAACAATTGAAAAGATTTACACTATTTACAGTGTTCGTACTGTTGTCCTCATCTTTATTGTCATATTCACAACATTTCAGCTGCTGTACACTCTGTCCATCTTCAGGTGATATATATTGAAATTTCAAATCAAACTCTTTATTTGGTCCACTGTTTTAGTTCCATGTATGTGCCATGCCTTTTTTCTGGATATCTCGGTTTCAGCTATTTCCCTTTAGTAACTCAAATCTCCAAATTTTTCTTCACCTCATCTGTGGCCAGGTATTGTACTCACAACTCTTTGGGTCAAGTCACTAGATTACATGCACCCAATGCTGTGATGACACGGTATCACTAGGCTGAGTGTTTCCTAGACTAAAGTCAAACAAGATTCTCTTGATGGAATCAACAGTCACGTATCAGTGATCAAGGCAAGCCTTCAAGTCTAGGATATCAACAGTGGTTTTACCTGGAGAGGGATAGTCTCCGCCAGGTCGACTTGGCCAAAACATGCTACACTACTTATCCAGCCTTCAAACTCATATGTGGAGGGATGGTCAGGTGCTCAGCAACTCTACCCAGTCATGGGATGGACTGATGATGATGGCAACAAAATACTATGTTGTGATAAAAACATATTTTGATATAAAGTTTTCATTACAAAAATCTACCAAAAGCCATAAGACCCTGTCTGTCCTGCTATTTAGCTCTAGTGGGGAAAATGGATGGATTCATACTCTTCCAAAGTGTATTTACATGTGAGTTAGTGTAACAAACTCAACTGGAATTTGAACTCAGCTCTCCAATTTCTCATTCTGAGCCATTATCCATTACACCACCCACACATCCAACAGTTGAGACAGTAAATATAGCTAAATCTGATTTCTAGAAACTCGTGCCACAAGAGGACCAATTACATTTTTTTTTCTTTTATGAAGAATAGAGGAAAGAGATTTTCTGTGCAGTAGTCTACAGCCTTGAATTAGTAACATCATTTATTCAAAATGGCTGTTAAGGATAACAAAAATTACTGACATCTTTTCAACCCAAGACTATTGTCAAGTTTTCTTTTTAATAATTTAGCTATTTTTAATTTCTATTGTTTTAAGCTGAAAATCCAATGCTTTGTCAGAGAAAACATTGAGCAAAATAAATTATTAAAACAACATTTTTCTTCTAAAAGAATACAGTTGGTTAAATATAGCATTATTATTATTATTATTATAGAGTGATATATTCAAACTCTTGTTCTCATCACTAATATGAGCAACAGAATGAGAATCATTCAATAAAAGGGTTTGGGTTTTAAATTTTGTGATTACCAAATATAACAGACAAAAGAAGGCAAATGAATACAACAAATGAAACCTTGAGACTAACTACCAAGATGGGGATATTAGTTGAATAAAAAATTCTCACTTCAGAAATAGGCAGAACATAACAACCAAGATGAGGTCACTTGCCCAAATAAATCAGTGTATAATAATAATTCCCAGAACTAGAATATGAGTTAGAATCAATTATTAGATTACTGGAATCAGAATTAGTAAAAATTTGCTAAGTAAATGCAAAGTGTATTATAAAGCATTCAAATTTCTAATTTCGCAAAGACAAGTCCAATAAACCTATTTTCTCTTTTCAGGACATATTTTAATTTCCATTAAAAGATTGATTTCAATTTTTTTGCAAATTTCAAACTATTAAATCTTTAGACATTATAGCCCTTGTACAAATTCAAAAATATTTCAACAAAGTCAGCAGTTTTCACTTTACAATCACAACAGAAATATCTGTGTCAGTAGTGTAGCTTCCATGATGATTTCAAAAAGTATATAGAAGTATCGTCCTGAAAGAAATAAAATTTAAGAATTACCTGCAAGAGTATCAAATTTAAATAGATACTTGCAGCACGTTCATCAGAAAGTCTTAAAAGTGGTACGAGAGAGAGAGAGAAGGAAATAGTATAAAAATGCCATTCACTTCAGTTAAAAGATCAGAAAACAAACAATTATCAAAATTCTTTACAACTGACAAAAAAAATTGAATCACATCAAAATGAAAGGGTAATGAAAAATAACATACCTAGAACTTCAAAACAACCAACCCTTAGATATTTACTAGAAAACTAAGGTAACTATAACAGCATGATGTATATATACATCAGAGTCAACTATTTAAACATTCATGTTCAATTTGTTGATGAAAGCAAATGATAACTGACAGTTAATGTAATGGACACCCAGGCAAATCTCACCTCATGCAGATATGCTCAAAAGTTCAAGGGAGAAGTTTTAGATTTGATTTACAAAGAAAGAAAAAAAAAAAAAAAGTTCTATCATTTGATTTGGTTTTTACTGCTTATCAATCCTTTGTGTTATTTCAAGCTGAAACATTTTAGATTATAAGAATAATTATTTTTGTTGCAAGTCAAAATTGTATTAATATTTTTAGAGAATAACAATGATTTGTTTTTCAGATGCCAGTAGATTCAAGTCCTACTATTTAACACATAACTTAGAGGGTCAGATGGATTCATGCCTTTCCCAAAGGTATTTGTATATAAGTGAATGTAATGAACCCAGCTGGAATTCAACCTTTGCTCTCCAATTTCTCATTTCAAGCTGCTAACCATTATGCCACCCACATATCCTTCTATCAATCAAAACAGATAACACTTAAAACATGTAAAAGTAAGAAAATAAAACTAGCAAAGAAAATAGAGAAATCTTGGAAGATGACATTCCCACAAGTAATCCATAGACAAGGGAGAGCATTGAAATTTCCAATCATTTTATTGAAGAAGGACGTTCTGCTGGTGCAATGGATAGCAGCTTGGAAAGAAGGAAAAACAAACAAAAAACAGAACTGATCAACACTGAGGCATTTAAACTCTTAACAACAAGAGTTCAATTCCTAAGGAGTGCTACACAAAGCTTAAGTAAAAATAACAGAAATTATATAGAAAATGAATGCATCAAGCACAATTCTTCAAGAATAAGTTACCTGAGTATGAAAGTTAATAACATTTCCATATAAAATGAGGATTTAACTAAAATATATAAATAAAAGATGTAATTTTTATAAAAATTACAGTAAAATTTACCTAATTTATTTTTGACTTATTCATTTTTAAAACTTTAACATTTAAGCTTTTTCAATTTCCTAAATATTTTAATGGGGTTTGTATTATGCTACTAACAACTATAAATGATAAACTTCATAATAAAAAAGAAATTAAAAAAAGAATATTTCAATTTTGAGACAAAGCAGTTTTTTTAGAACCATTCCAGTATTATGTCGAGGAGCAGTCCTTCCCAAAAATGTAATGCTATGTTTATAACAATTGAAAGGGAGTCTGCTACTATGAGTTCTCCAAGGAGAACTCAACAATTATTTTCGGACAAGTTCTGCTTCCAATTACATTGATTGTTAAAAGCATCTGAAATGAGTCATAAAAAGAAAGCCTGCAACATTCAACCAGGACAACAATAGACTACAGGCTTGTTTGGTGGCTAGGCAAAAAAAAAAAAATTGCTAAATCTTCACTCAGCCACCAGATACTGGACTTTCAGATTCTCATTTATTTTGGTCTTTATGAAGATGCCTTAAAAGAAAATTTCAATTTCCTGGAAGGCTGCAAAAGACACCTCATGCAGTTTGTTCAAAGTTCTAGGAAGACTAAAATCAATCTCTAGACAATAGAGGAACAAAGTGATAAAATATATATTGTTCAATAAATTAATACTGAAACTAAAAAAATAAAATCAAAAAAACTTTTTGTGTTGCACAAAACACTATATTTATACTTGATGAATACTTGACTATTATGATTTTAATTTTTTGAAGGATATTGGAAAAAGTAAATGTTTTTCAGACTTGTTTAAATTACATTCACCTGTTTGTGCTGTGGGTCCCACTAGCAGATATCTTGAAGCAGTTTCTCAATACTGGCATATGTGGTTTCAAAAGTCAAGATGATAGGAGCCTTGCAGCTGATCTCTCATCTGACTTGGATCTAACTGCTCAATGCGGAAATGGGGAGGACTTGTAACTTAATACCTCAAAAGCCAAACTAATACCATTTCAACATCACTGTTCAAACTGAGTTTTCTCCAGTCTTGATG